CCCCCCCCCGGCCTTAAAATCCCCCGGGGTTTAGCGCTTCCCCCCCTTGATTAAAATTAATAAAAATTTCGTGGACTCCACGCGATTCCAAACGCCTCCTCATGTCAAGATCATTATTAACGATATCGCTACGCTGCCCAAACCTCTCTCCGACGGACTGACCCACATCCCCCCGACAAACATCGAACCTTGCGGGAATGATTTTCCCTAAAATCACTTCTCAAAAGTTTCCCCCCATCAAGGTGAAAGTTTTTCTCAAATTAGGAAGTGGGGGAAAAACCCAAACCTCCACTACCCTATCCTCCAACACCTTAACTGAAAGATAAAAATCGTATTTTTTCAAAAAAATCCCTTAAAAAGGAAATCATCGCTGGAAAATCCAAGGGTCTGAAGAAGAGCTCCAAAACTTCGACCTATGTCTCCATAACAAAGCTACAGCGACACCATTAAGATTCTTCAAGTTACTCAAGACACCTCCACTAGCAATTGCTCTCCATTCCAGAACCCTCTCCCAAAGTCTTTTACTGCATGATTATGTCACCTTAAAATGCAGCCAACCCCAAGTTCCTTCCGACCAGTCAACGAGCTATTCCGCCTCCTGACAAGTTTTACGTTTCCCGGCTTTTTGCACCTTCTCCGACATTCTGAAGGGATCCCCCGCACCAGTTACCCTTCTGTGCCCAACCACTGCTCGCAACCCAAACCCATGCTGAGGGGCCACCAATAAAGAAAACTGATTAGCAAAAAGTCGTACCTTTCAATCACCAGTAAACCCCCTACTACCTGCCAGCAGTCAACCGTCAAATTTAAAGACTACTACACCTGGCCGCCACGCCTTTCATTCAAGCCTGCAATAATAAAAAAATAATATAATTATGGGAAAATAACAAAAAAAACAAAAAGTATTATTATTATTATTTAAATTTTTAGGGGAGGTAAAGGCTTCTCGTTGCCCTTTTTATCTACCATCAAAGTACCCCCATCAACCAACCCACCAGCTGACCCACCATCAACCACACGCCACCACTGACACCCCCATCAACCCACCCACCCGCTGTACACCACCATCAACCACACGCCACCAGCTGTACACCACTCAACCCCCACGCCACCACTGTACACCACCCCAACCCACGCCACCAGCTGTCACCACCATCAACCCACACCCCTAACTTACACCACTCAACCACCACCACTAAATGTACACCACCATCAACCACACCCACCATGTACACCACCATCAACCACCACCATAACTGTACACCCCTCAACCACCGCCACCAGCTGTACACCACCATCAACCAACGCCCCCAGCTGTACACCCCATCAACCACCACCAAACGTACACCCCCCAAACAACCACAACCCACCCGCTGTACACCACCATAAACAACAACCACTAACTGTCACCACCTCAACCACACACACCCGCTGTACACCCCTCAACCACACACCACTAACTGACTCCACCATCAACCATACAGCTGTACAACTAACTCACCATACACTGCTACACAATCTCATCACCACCATCTCACACAACCATCATCCACACACCCTAATGACATCATCACCACATACGCCTCCAGATGTCACCACCTATCAACCACACCTCCATGATACCACACACCACACATCACCCACACCTTCAACTATAAACACAAACCATCTATAACCTCCATCAACCATCATCACCACTGACCCACCATCAACCACACCCTCATCTACCCATCATCAACACAACCACCATCTAACTGTACACACACCATCACAACCCACCAACTACACCACCATCAACCTACACACCTCATCAACTACACACCATCACAACACCACTTACAACCATCATCACCACACCCAACAGCTGACAACCATCAACCCACACCTTCAACTGTACACACCTCATCAACCACACACCACTATCAACACACCACCATCAACCAACTACCAACTTACACCCACCATCAACCACACACCTCAACTTACCACCATCATCAACACCACAACTTCACCACCATCAACTACACACCTCTCAACTTACACCACATCAACCAACACACCCATCAACCACCACCACCATCAACCACACACCTTCAACTACACACCATCATCAACCACACACCATCATCAACCACACACCTCATCAACTCACACCCTTCACTACACACTATCACACCTTCAACTACACACCATCATCAACTACACACCATCATCAACCACACACCACCATCAACCACACAACCTTCAACTACACACCATCATAAACCCCAACAACACCCCATCATCAACCACACACCACCATCAACCACACCCCTTCAACTAACACCATCATCAACCACACACCACCTTTCAACCACACACCTCCAACAACCACACACCCACCATCAACCACAAAACCTTCAACTACACACCATCATCAACCACACACCATCATACAACCACACACCACCATCAAAACCACACACTTCAACACACACCATCATCAACCACACACCACCATCAACCACACACCTCCAAAACTACACACCACCATCAACCACACACCTTCAACTACACACCACCCATCAACCACACACCACCATCAACCACACACCTTCACTACACACCATCTCACACACACACACCATCAACCACACACCACCTCAACCCACAAACCTTCAAACTACACACCATCATCACCACACACCCCCATAAACCCACACCCTTCAACTACACCACATAAACCCACACACCCCCTCAACCACACACCTTCATCTACACACTATCATCAACCACACACCACCATCAACCACACACCTTCAACTACACACCATCATCAACCACACACCATCATCAACGACACACCACCATCAACCACACACCATCATCAACCACACACCATCATCAACCACACACCTTCAACTACACACCATCATCAACCATACACCACCATCAACCACACACCTTCAACTACACACACATCATCAACCACACACCACCATCAACCACACACCATCATCAACTACACACCATCATCAACCACACACCACCATCAACCACACACCATCATCAACCACACACCACCATCAACCACACACCATCATCAACTACACACCACCATCAACCACACAACCACCATCAACCACACACCTTCAACTACACACCATCATCAACCACACACCACCATCAACCACACACCTTCAACTACACACCATCATCAACCACACACCACCATCAACCACACACCATCATCAACTACACACCATCATCAACCACACACCACCATCAACCACACACCATCATCAACCACACACCATCATCAACTACACACCATCATCAACCACACACCACCATCAAACACACACCTTCAACTACACATCATCATCAACCACACACCACCATCAACCACACACCTTCAACTACACACCATCATCAACTACACACCACCATCAACCACACACCATCATCAACTACACACCACCATCAACCACACACCATCATCAACCACACAACCACCATCAACTAAACCCTACGTTCATTTCTACACAATCCACACTCATTACTACCCTAACATACCTCAGCTTACCCTCCCTACATTCCTAAGTTGCTCACCTTTACCACCTTCTCTTAGCTGTGAAAAAAAAGGTTACTTTGGCCATTTACACCTCATCTCTTTAATCTTTTCTGGAATACCCCAATTTTTCCCAGGGGGCATTTCCCCCTGATTGAGAATCCCTAGGTTAAAATAACGTCTGTATGTAGTGATATATGTCAGTGGTGGTAGATAATGGAGGAGCTATCTGTATCCCTTTCGACACTGTGTGTGTGTGTGTGTGTGTGTGTGTGTGTGTGTGTGTGTGTGTGTGTGTGTGTGTGTGTGTGTGTGTGTGTCTGTTTCTCTCGCTCTCTCTCTCTCCTCATATATCAAACAGACTAAGGGGAATATACAAGCGACATAACAAGACAGAGGGAAGAAGACCCTCACTCCTGGTTCAGAGGATCGTGTACAGTCTTGCCTGTACAACAGACGTGAGCTCCTGTTGACGATGTTGTGTTTTTTTCTTTTATGTGGGGCTCTATGGTAAGGCCATTATAATTCACCGGAACACCAGACCTGCACGAGTCATTAAGCCCAAGGAAACACATTATTATTATTATTATAATCAAAGGGAAGCGCTAAACCCGTAGGATTATACAGTGCCCGGGGGGGGGGATGTGGAAGGCATTCAGGCTTAATTCGGGGAACTGGAGCACAGTTCCAATTCCCTAAATCAAGAGCCCCTCACCAACATCAAGGAACCTTCCATGAGGGGTTAAGGAAACACAGAGGTTCGATCATGCATCCGCTAATCACGAAACAAGCTATTAAAGTGTACTCGCTTAGTGTGTAAACTGTTATTATTTTTATTATTTAACGAGCTAAATCCGTGTTGGTAATCCAGCGCAAGCATTTGTGGAGGCTCGCACACACACATAGCCTAGCAAGTGACGTAGTGGAGGCAGGAACCATACATAGCTTTAAGACGAGGTATGACAAAGATCGGGAAGCAGAGAGAGCGGACCTAGTAGCGATCAGTGAAGAGGCGGGGCCAGGAACTGAGTCTCGACCCCTGCAACCACAATTAGTTGAGCACACACACACACTACGAGGCTTACAATAGGAAGATTTCAGAGCCTGAGAATTCTTTGACAAATTTGAGTCATCAGATACTAGCTGTTCGTGCTGTCCCTTCCCAAAGCTCTTGGTGCTTTAATATTGTAACTACAGTATTCTTAGATGTGTGCGTGTGTATATATGTGTGTACTGACCTATATGTGGTTGCAGGGGTCAAGTCGCAGCTCCTGGCCCAGCCTCATTACTGGTAGCTATTAGGTCATTCTATTCTGGCTAGAAGAGAGTTGTCTTACCTCTTCTTGAAACTATGTATGGATCACGCCTCTAACACTCTCCAAATTGTTCTACTTCCTGGCAACTCTTTGGCTGAAGAAATGCTTCCTAACATCCCTCTGACTAATCTGAGTTTTCAACATCCTGTTGCGTGTGTATGTATGGCACACCTCCCAGTATTATATAAGGATGATCTAACACTTATTGTTTGTTCTTCAGGTTACAGCGAGCGACAAGGGGCAGTACCAGTGTATGTTACACCGTGCGGGCTACTCTGTCACCTCAGCAAACCTCAGCCTCTTCCTCGCAAGTGAGTAACACACACACACACACACACACACACACACACACCTGTTCAACACCATACACGCCGAGCAACAACTCTGTTACGTTCTATTAGAGTTTTATCAAGAGTGTAACTTTGTTCCAGTGGAAGCTTGCACGGTAAATTGCATCTTTACTTCTGAACCATTTGTTTCATCTTTACAAAGGTGAGAAAGGTGCTATTCTACTCGCTACTAGGTTAAGCTCCTATCATTATATTCCATTTGTGGGTTTATCCATATGTTCTTGCGCTACCACCTAAAGGAAGGATATGTGACACACAAACTAGCGCTCCCGTCTACTGGATCGTAATGGAATGCACAATTAACTAGCCAGTCTTCCATAAAATGGATATGAGATGTATAACAAACTAGCACTGCTATCCACAGGATCGTAACAGGTGTGCACATTAAACTAGCCTGTAAAGGCTTACTCAGCCCTGTAACAACTTCAGTCAGTATTATCAAGGCTGGCTCCTCCTCAGGAAAATTAATGAATAGAAAAAGAATAAAAACTGACAAACATAAACACTTTATTATTTAAAAAATATAAAATATAAATACTTAAATATGAAATATTTATCCTACTTTAAAGAAAAATGAAAAATGAAAAATATAAATGGTATCTAAATTCAACGCTAATATATACAATTAAACTTGGGTGTCTGGTTGATGTTGACACAGTCTTGTATAGAATATAGCCGTTGTTGATGATGTGTGTGTGGGGGGGGGTCACAGGTGTTGGTGACAACCCAAGGGCCAGTTCTTCACAGAGTCTCTAGCCTTGATTAGTCAGTCCAGATGACAGAAACGCAGGTTCTTTACCACTGCAAAGATGAGGGGTTATGTCCTGCGGTGGCGTACATATAAACAGGTAGGTAAAGAGTGAAGTCTCGGGACGTTAGTCAGTCTCCTTCAATACTTCTCGTTGGTTGGCAGGTGACCCAATCTGTCATTCCAAGAGTTGTGCTGGGAGCTGTGAGTCGAGTGATTACTGTTTGGCCGGAGCCCCACACGTCACCTTTCGGGGTGGGGGGGTAAGGGGGGGATAGCGGGAGCTAGACTTACCCTACCTTAACAAGCAGCCGGCAATCAAACTATCGTTACCATATACTCGCTCGCTACTCCTATCTGTTGAACTTTTCCCTCATAGCCCCTGCCTTCAACAGGATGGATATGGGATGCACAATACAGTTGTCGCTTTGGTGGCAAAATCTTCCTAAATAGTTGTGTTCCTACTGGTCATAAGCTGTAACTTGTAATCTAAATTGTGTATTGTTTCCTGTATCTTTCTTTTCATTTTGAACATTGATTTAGATGTTAGAAACTGGCAACTGTTATCCTTCATCATCATATACCGGGTAAGCATAGCTATTCTACCTCAGCTCAGACGAGCTAAGAGCTTTTTTCCTAACTCATACAAGGTAAGAGTTGTTATCCTAACTTTGCTCATACAGCCTAATATCTGTGATCATACCACAGTTTTTATAGGCTAAGAGCTGTTATCCTGCCTCAGCTCATTCCAAACTCTTTCCTAAGCATGCCACCCACAACAGTCGACTAACACCCAGGTACCTATTTACTGCTTGGTGAACAGAGGCAACAGGTATAAGTAGATTCATCTATGCGTCTTGGCCAATCTGGGAGTCAAACCCTGGTTCCTTCGGCTGTCAACCGAGCGCTCTATCATTGAGTTACAGGTCTTACACAGGTTCAGTATTGTTACTGATGCAAGTTAGCAGAGTTATTGATGTAAGTTACTAGAGTTACTGACGTAAGTTACCAGAGTGAAGTCTATTTTCCACAGTGACAAGCCGCTTCAACGTCAAAATATACAGAAATATAAACATGGTCTGCCCCTCTTACGTACCCAGGGCCTCTACCTCTCTTACGTACCCAGGGCCTCTACCTCTCTTACGTACCCATGGCCTCTACCTCTCATACGTACTTGAACTGTTAAGTCACCTCTTACACGCACACTAACTTCGCATTACACTTATACAGTATACAACCTCTTACACACACACACGAACTAAACATACACAAATACAATCTATATCTTTTACACGAACTAAACACACACAAATACAATCTATATCTTTCACACGAACTAAACATACACAAATACAGCCTACATGAACTACACATAACATACATACAACTTAAACACACACACACACAAACTACACACAGTTTGCACTTCTTACTACAGGTTACAAGGGAGGACAAGACTCTCGCGTGTCAAGAAACAACTCTATTCGTGTGAGAGGAGGTGAGCGACAGTGATAGCATGTTGCCTTCGCTGCCTCTCGATGCCTCTGCAATTAACTTCTTTGTCGGGGTAAATGATTGTAATTTCAGACGTCAGGTTGCAATCGCCGATGTCACTTTAACAAATACCATAATTATTACGGTTTTACATCGTCAAAGGCGATATAACTCCTGTCGTACCGTGAACAGCGTACACGTACACTTCACAAATAGAATCCTAAATGGTTATAACTTTGACCAAAATTTTTAAAGGGAAGGCCAGCGGAAGGCCTCGGTCAGATGACCAAAAGCTCCAACGGCAGGTTATCATCTGACTAAGACCCGCGTCAGGAAAAATTTGTTCTGTTTCCTGACAAACTTTACCTAATCTGACTTCATAATTAACTCAAACTTTCTTTTGAAAGGGAAAAGCGACTCTGGTTGAGGTGGATGAGTAAGACATACGTGCAACATTTTGGTATCTTTATTTCCGAAACGTTTTGCCTGCGATTGGAAACAGTGGGGTCACAGTTGGTGTCGCTGATACAACCAAGTCACAGAAGTGCGGGTTGTAAAATCATCCTTTTGTAAGCTATGTGGCTGAAGGGTTACAGCACTGGGCGTGATATGTGCATTGACCATGGTTCCAGCCCCTGTCCACACACACACACACACACACACACACACACACACACACACACACACACACACAAACACGCGTAGTGAACGTAGTAAAGGCGGGATCCATACATAGTTTTACGATGAGGTATGATATAGCTCATGGAGCAGGGAGAGAGAGTGGACCTAGTAGCGACCAGTGAAGAGGCGAGGCGAGAAGCTATGGCTCGACCAAGGCAACCACAATTAGGTGAGTGTACCCATGCGTATATACTGTGTCTGTATACGCATAATGTATATGAAGCTCCTAATTATGTATGAAGTAACAAGAAAGACTTCATTTTCCTTGTGATGTAAATATTTCGGTGATCATGCACTCTCTGGCAAAGCTTACTTTGGGGTCCACTCACTAGATCTTTTGACTACCGCTCACAGGATGGGTATGGTGTGCATAATAAACATATTAAACTAACCCATGCGCCATCATCATATACTGATGTAGAAAATATCGAAGAAAACGTATTTTACAAATGTAAATAATAAAACAATTTAAAACCATAAAAACATAGCAGAGAGAGAATGTTGCCACGGGTGGAGGCAGGCAGGTGCTGACTACACACTGCACTCAGCGAGGGTGGAGGCAGGCAGATGCTGACTACACACTGCACTCAGCGAGGGTGGAGGCAGGCAGGTGCTGACTACACACTGCACTCAGCGAGGGTGGAGGCAGGCAGGTGCTGACTACACACTGCACTCAGCGAGGGTGGAGGCAGGCAGGTGCTGACTACACACTGCACTCAGCGAGGGTGGAGGCAGGCAGGTGCTGACTACACACTGCACTCAGCGAGGGTGGAGGCAGGCAGGTGCTGACTACACACTGCACTCAGCGAGGGTGGAGGCAGGCAGGTGCTGACTACACACTGCACTCAGCGAGGGTGGAGGCAGGCAGGTGCTGACTACACACTGCACTCAGCGAGGGTGGAGGCAGGCAGGTGCTGACTACACACTGCACTCAGCGAGGGTGGAGGCAGGCAGGTGCTGACTACACACTGCACTCAGCGAGGGTGGAGGCAGGCAGGTGCTGACTACACACTGCACTCAGCGAGGGTGGAGGCAGGCAGGTGCTGACTACACACTGCACTCAGCGAGGGTGGAGGCAGGCAGGTGCTGACTACACACTGCACTCAGCGAGGGTGGAGGCAGGCAGGTGCTGACTACACACTGCACTCAGCGAGGGTGGAGGCAGGCAGGTGCTGACTACACACTGCACTCAGCGAGGGTGGAGGCAGGCAGGTGCTGACTACACACTGCACTCAGCGAGGGTGGAGGCAGGCAGGTGCTGACTACACACTGCACTCAGCGAGGGTGGAGGCAGGCACGTGCTGACTACACACTGCACTCAGCGAGGGTGGAGGCAGGCAGGTGCTGACTACACACTGCACTCAGCGAGGGTGGAGGCAGGCAGGTGCTGACTACACACTGCACTCAGCGAGGGTGGAGGCAGGCAGGTGCTGACTACACACTGCACTCAGCGAGGGTGGAGGCAGGCAGGTGCTGACTACACACTGCACTCAGCGAGGGTGGAGGCAGGCAGGTGCTGACTACACACTGCACTCAGCGAGGGTGGAGGCAGGCAGGTGCTGACTACACACTGCACTCAGCGAGGGTGGAGGCAGGCAGGTGCTGACTACACACTGCACTCAGCGAGGGTGGAGGCAGGCAGGTGCTGACTACACACTGCACTCAGCGAGGGTGGAGGCAGGCAGGTGCTGACTACACACTGCACTCAGCGAGGGTGGAGGCAGGCAGGTGCTGACTACACACTGCACTCAGCGAGGGTGGAGGCAGGCAGGTGCTGACTACACACTGCACTCAGCGAGGGTGGAGGCAGACAGGTGCTGACTACACACTGCACTCAGCGAGGGTGGAGGCAGGCAGGTGCTGACTACACACTGCACTCAGCGAGGGTGGAGGCAGGCAGGTGCTGACTACACACTGCACTCAGCGAGGGTGGAGTCAGGCAGGTGCTGACTACACACTGCACTCAGCGAGGGTGGAGGCAGGCAGATGCTGACTACACACTGCACTCAGCGAGGGTGGAGGCAGGCAGGTGCTGACTACACACTGCACTCA